CAGGAAGGTATTGTCCCAGAGTCATCTGTTTATCATTTATGGGTGCTGAAGGATAAGCAAAGACACTAGAGTCTGGCTCCTAAATCTGGTCCTCTGCTGAAGCCACCTTCTTGTCTACCCAAGGGATTTTGCTGGCTGGGTCAGAGTATCACCTTCACTTCACGGTCTGCAAAGGCACATTTAACTCTATTACTCCCTATTAAACCTCAGTCTATGGGTCCAGAGACTACATGTAAAACCCTGGGCAACCCTTTGCCTGTGTACATGAGCTTTTGTCTGCTGTCAGGACTCTATTGAGTATTCCCCGTTCAGTCCATAATACTCTGAAGAAAAAACTATTGTTGAAATAGGTTTGTCAGAAATTTAACGTAATTGCCAGAAGCAGCTGTTTATGGCTCATCTATCACCATATCTCTCTTCTCTTCTCAACCCAAGAGTGGCCTTTGTTAGCTTGGTATATTAGAAACCTTTGAAACTAGGGACTTGGCAGTGAGCACTCACAGCTGATGCCAATGTCAGTACGAAAGATGGGTCAGGCTACAGACCTCAGAAGGGACAATTTGTGGGATGAGCATTTTTCTTTCACTGCAGATGACCTTCACTGTTGGAGCTGTTAGGGATGGGGAATGACAGTAAGATTGCAGCTATAAAGCAAAGCAGCAGACCCTCAGTTATCTTCAGGATAGTAAACGCTCAGCATTGAACAATGTATCTAACAAGCTTTGCCACAAATATGCCTGGTTTTATCTAGTTTTTATGTTCCTAAGGCACTCGGACTCCTTTTTTGGAACATGCACCTCAGTAAGTCTGCTGCTTGGGGTTGGGAGGGTTAAAAGAAATGTTCCACGAGAGCACAGCACACAGCTGAAGGGAACAGATGCTCCAGACTCACCAACTTATCAAAACCTCTGGAGCAATCATGGCCACATCTTCAATTTTTAAGGATTTCTATGGCATTGGTTATGCTCCCACCTTCTTCACCGTTTGGAAAGGGGCGTGCTGAGGACCCCCAGGCCCTCTGAAGGCCAGCAAAATGGTGGCATTTGGGAGGGCAACAGCCTGCTCCAATATGGGAGCTCAGCAAGCCGGAGCTCTTTGCCTACTATTTGCCACAAAACAAGAAATCTAGGAGTTTGATCTGAAACATAATCTCCTTCCCTTCTCGCTCAGCCTCAATCTTTAAAAAAACCCCATGTCCCAGCCTGGTCCGAGGTGACCTTCTGGCTTGGTCCAGTGTCAGGGATGCAGAGCAGACAGCAGAATACCCAATGTGTATTTCAGGCTAACATTTATAGATAGCTTTGTGCCTCCGTTTCCATTTTTCCCTTCCAAAACTGGTTCTTCAGCCACCCATGGTGAGAACTTGTTCCTCCTAGGACTTCTCGAAACACCTTGATGAGTGAAGCTCACCTGTCAGAGCTGCCTGGGTGTTATAGATGAGAAAAGTTCTCACTGATGCTTTTGGAGAGGAAAAGGCAGGAGAGAGGACATTTTCTCTCCGGAGCATGTGCCTAAAGGCAGGAGGCATGGGAGCCTTTTTCCTCGAGACCAGATAAAGCTGGTTCCTAAAGCGTACCTGCAGCGATGCACGGCAAACTCCGAGCACCCTCAGGGTGCCACGCTGGCAGAAGCAGTGCTTGACTTACCAGATCTCCGCGGGACCCCCCTGGCCCGAGGGCTGCGGGGAGGCGCGCTGCGAGGTAGCGCTACGTGGCTGCACTAAGGACGTCTGACAGGGAGGGCAGGCACGGAGAAGCTGGAGAAGCTCAAAGCAGAGGCGTGCAATTCACTGGGGCTCCAGCAGCGCACGGCAGAGGGGCCGTGACCAAGACTTTGTGGCACTTAATCGTCACTATGTTTTGAGTATCTCGACGGGGCATGTTAAGACCAGTTCTAACAATATCCAAAAGAAACAACACGTTCTCATTTGTATAGTGAACGGCATTACAGGGGAATTACCCATTACACAGAAAGATTCTGAACATTAATTACAGTATCTTTTATAACTGTATAATTTAACTGCCAACCCTTTCCCTCGGAATTAATCACGGATGTACATCATATAATCAAACAAGCTTTTTTAAAAAGTACATCGTAATATAAATAGTTTATTCAGTGCATGGTTGTGTATACAACAAATAATAAACAACTCTTTCGTACGAGGCAGAAAGCTGCCTGTACAGAACTATGTCAGTTTTGGAGCACAGAATCCAACGATGATTAATGCACAAAATCTTACACATCATGCAACTCTAGGCCAATATTCCAACTTTCTCCCATGCAACAGACATGATGACCTAAATGGAAACCTAACTACATTTTTTTTTTTTAAACAATTGTTTCCAATAGCATGTATAAGTATATGTTGTTTAGGGGTAACCTGTCCTAACGCTTCCTCCTACACAATATTCACGTGCCCGTTACAGTGAAAGAAGGACTTTTACAAATAAGACGTTTCTTATAAAAAATTAAGTCACCTTAATTCCACAGTTTCTGTCTTTAGAAAAGAAGCCACGACAATAGTTTAACATGACACACAAAATGGAATTAAGAGAAATCTACACTGGAGGATAATTTTATCCCTTTCTGTTAACTTCCACTTGGGATAACAAAACAACTCAATTCCTACAGACTGGGGTTAGCACAAGAACTTTACCAGAAACTACAAATCTATAAAAATTTATATTTCATTGTGTTTAAAACCACAAGAACACTGTTTGCTTGAGCCTGAGACACCAACTCTCAGTTCCAACCCTGAATTTTTAATTATTTTTTTAAAGACATAAAGACCCATTGGAGTTCAGAAATCAAAAAGTTGCACTATTCCAAATTAAAGGATACATTTTTTTATCAAGCCTTAGATATAAAACGGTAAGCCAAGGAAACAACAGAGTTTACATATTTGTTTTTTGTTTGCCCCTATAAAACATACAAGCATTAAAATTTCCTTTGAAGAGCAAAAGTGGTCTTTTTCTGAGTTGGAAAGCAAATTCTTATCAGCAGTGAATGCTGTGAAATGTTTTTGTTTCATATTCCACAAAGCATAGAGGAGAAAGAGAAAGAGAGAGAGGGAAAGAGAGAGAGAGAAAGAGCTGGACATTTCTTCTCCGAGATTTATTCCGCAGTTATGTTTGCTGGCTATCCAAGTGCCTTGTGATATGCACAAGCATATTCTACATTATTGGGGTATATCCCTTGACAACCAGTAGATCTAACGGCTGATAAACGAGTGACCTATGCAAGTTCGGTGGCTTGTCCTGGGCAATTGAACGTTTGGATGAAAGACTGCTAGTAAGAATTCAACTGCATCCAGAGGTAAGGTTCTGTTTAGAGAGCACTTGGCTTGCCTGAACCTGGCTACGTTGACTCATTTTGGCTCATGGATTTACCCCCATTTAGCACTCCTGAAACACTTCTGCTCTTTGTTGGGGTCCCACTTCCAGATCTTGAGAACTCTGTGAGATCGTGGAGAGAAGGCTCTTTGTACATGGCCACTGCAAAGCAAAAGAGAGGCAGCACATCAGCATGTGTTACGGGCTACTCGGTCTGTTGGTGCAAAGTCCGGCTGTGAAACGTCGGGATTTTTCATACAGCAATATGCAGTGTAAGGAGTGAATGAAAGAAACACAGCAAGGAGACCTCTTCCATTTCAAACGCGCCCTAAGAACCTCTGAGGTCTTCAAGGGAACGACAGTTTAGAGAAGGGAAAAACCACAGCTCCCTCCCTCTCCCAGTTAAATCACCCACTGCACGCACTTACAAAACTCTGCAAGATAGACCTAATCTCAACATTCCTTATTAATGGTGAAGTGGCACTGTTGATGGCTGTGATTTGACCTGTTGCTTGTATACGTAGCCTAAGCAGGTGGGTGCGAAAATGGATTTTCAGTCTTCTGTTTCCTTTGTTTTCACACACATTAGAAGTGAGGATCAACCTCAATATCAGTTGCCTAACACCTAGTCCTCAGTGTAGACTGCCAAACTAGTCCAGCATCCACTCAGGGCTATGCACCTTTGAAATACCTTCTCTGATTTTAGAATGACACTGCCTTAAAAGGTTACCGGCAAGCATAACCCAGAAGTAGAAGGCTTCATTCCTCTTAAGGAAGGAGCATATGGAAGCTAGTTCTTCTGGAGAAAAGGAGCGCCTCCATACATCTACTGAGATCTCCCTCTTTGCATTACCAAAGAGGCAGAGAAGTCTGACCACGGTCCTGATTGATTCAGATCCTTCAGTTAACTGGGATGATTGCACGTCCTGGCTTTTAATACACAGCGGTATACGTATGCCACATGCATTATTACCTTTAATGTCATAGGCTGATACCACACTAATTGTGGTTTAATAAGCAATGCATGTCAGAGCTTTGTCTCAGGCAAAAATGGACAAGCAAACATAAAGCTCGGACTGACGAGCTATACAGAACATTGCCGATGGTCTGTGAGCAAATGTTGGAGCCATTCCAGGTAGAGCCTTCATTATCTATAACAGAGACACTGTGGGCTCTGGGCACAAAGAAACCAATGCATGTATTTGGTTAGATTAGAGAAATGCAGAGGTAATGTAGAGAAACCTAAAAAAACCCCCGTAGCTCTGGTTACATTAACAGTGTGTTACAGAACATCATACTCCTGTTATGTAAGTAGCTGAACCCTTCAAATATGTATGCACAGCAATTAAACATCTCTGACATAAGATAATGTCAGTTCAGATAGACGGAGCAAACCCAAGCAATTACCTTTTAATGGTTTTGGAAGAAAGTGTGCTGCAGGTTTATTTTTCTTCACGTGGTTTCCTTTCATTATTTCTCCTTCTTTGTTAAGACCCAAATACCAACCCCGGCCAGACTGTTGCTGTCTGTAGATCATTGAAGAATATGTCACATAGTAGTTTTCAAATACTGATTCTTTGAACTTGCATTCAGGTGTAAAATGCTCCTGTAAGAAAGTAACAGATCAATATGTGCAGTGCTGAATCTCACATCAGTTAATGAAAAAGCATCCAATATTCATTGCTTTCCCGGCACTTAGACGACGTACCTCTCACCCACCACTATCCAATTATGAAACACGGGCCCTAAAAGTATTAACAAAAGAGTAACACAATTTGTAACCCATGAAATGACGCCGTGAGCAGCTCAAAGTAGTGTAACAAAATCTTTCTGAACAACGAGTAAAAAGTCTAAGAGAAGAATTATTGATTGATGCAACTAATGGACATTAGGCGGACGCAGCCCTGATGCCAGCCCCAAGGGACCAGCTGTGGTCCAGCCCCGCAGGCGAGGAGCGCGGCCATGCAATGCCTTTGTGCATTAACTGCTGGCCTTAACTGCTCATGAGGAAAGTGCAATAAAAATTCAAAGCCAGGATGCCATGAGTAAATGGCCGCCTCTTACTAAGCCAGCAATATTAAGTTAGCTTGTAGCAGCTGCCTCTTTGGTCTAACCTATGCTCTTTCTCTGCCCAGCCTATCAGCCACTGAAAGCCCAGCTGCCAGAGACCCATGCGGGCATTAGCCTCTGCTCTGGGACTGCCAAGAGCTACACGGTGCCACAGCTGGATCCAGCTTTAGTCTTCATGTTGAATTGCGCGGCTTCTTTTGGGGAGATGGTATTGGGCTAACAGTTAAAATAAAGAGCACTAATCCAGCAGAGAGACTTTTTCTTCCTGCCAACGGCGTGACTGGCTTTCACTGGGCAAGAGTCTTGACTCAATCAACACGTTTTGGCACTATTGCCCAGATTCAAAAAAGGATACAGGCATGAAACATCATTGTTCTTGGAGGGACCTAAGACCAAAATGTCAGTCCTCCCAGCACCACTCAGCTGCTTCTTAACGCCTCTGGGTGCTTCAGGTTTTTTTAACATTAGGAGTTCTCAAAACATCTCCACCTACGGACCCCTAAAGTCCTTAAAATATGAAAGGGGAAGGGCTGGGTCTGGCCATGCGGATGTTAATCTCACAGCCCTGCCTGTCACCGCAGCGCACAGCAGCCGGCTGCTTGCTGGCCTCTCCTTGCGAAGGCAGCCAGCTTCGGTGGAGCTGCCCTTGTGCTTAAAGCATCCTACAGATGCGTGGAAGAAAGGAGGAAAAATTGTGCTGGCGTAATGATTGTAATTTTGATTTTTAAAAAATCAAAGGAAATTAAATGTCTCAGGAGCTTAAGATGTTCTTATCTAGTTTCTCAAATATTCTTGTGTGAGAAAAAGATAGTATTTAAAAAAAAAACTATACTGTGCATTTTCTGCACATCTTTTGCCATTTTGTCTTCCCATAGGAGAAAGAAAAAAACCTCCCATCCTCTGACTGGCATTTGCTTCAACAAAGAATGTGAAGTAAGCAATTTTCTTCTTTTTTTTTTTCTTGAAGCTAATTGGCTGTTATTTAGTTAATTGACGATAGGTTTCAGTTGCTGTCAAACGGGGATAGTCACTGCATTTTGCAAGATTTCTAAATAAAAGCCTTCCATCAGCGTACCCTGCCCAGCGCTAGCCAGACTATTGCAAGTGTATCATCCAATTAGCAGCAAAATGGAAAACTACAGTGCTCCCACCGGAAGATTATGGTTTATGTACAGTAATTTGGAGCTGTTTCGGGTACAAAAGGCCTGCTTGTAGACAGCAGCAGAGGGTCAGATTGCTAACAGAACCACAACATTTACTCTGGCTCTCTTAGGAAGCAAGTTAACCCCGGTATGAGCAGCAGCAGCCAGCAGCCCGCAGCCTCCCTCGAAACAGGGTGGGGAGACAGAAAGACAGACACTAAAAACCCTCTGTCACCCCTGATTTTTCCCTTGGCTGTGAGGTTTGTGGTAACAAGCTGAGGTGGAAGCCCTGTGCTGCTGTGGGTGAGTCTGCAGTCGAGCCCGTGTACGGCCGGACACCAGCCCGATGGTGCGCGCCGGCCGGCCAGCCTCCCCCCATGGGCATCCCGGCAGCGGTCCCCTCCCCGGAGCACCCCACAGTTCAGCAGTGGCTACCATGGGGGTGATTTCTCGCAACAAACAGCGGGGCAAGGAAATAAAGACACCTCTCTATAATGCGCTCAGTTGCCGTGCTAAGTTCTCTCCCAGTTTTTCTGGCACTAAACCAGCCCACCTCATTCAGCTGGCTGGCTTGGCACGGAATCGCGCTCCTTTGTCTTGACTGACATCTGCTTAATTCCTCAGCTACGGCTGCAGCTTCAGAAAAGCGCTGCACGGTGGGCAAGGCATCCTTCTTGCCAAATAGAAGTTGATCCCACATGAGCTGTTTGCAGAAGCTGAAGTGCTCTGCTTGCTCCTGAATACTAAGCAGCTGCTTACCTTTTGCAAGTGTTTGTTCCCACCCATCGCTTGCCTTTCCTTTAATCCAATGCGTGTCTTTCCTACTCATTAAAAAAAGACCCCGGGAGGAGAACAGCAGAGGGAAGCTCTGAATGAGGAGTGATAGCAAGTGTGCTCCTGATTTGGGGGATATTACAATTAAAATGTACTTTTCTGAGCTTGCCAACCTAACTGGGTATGGACAGGGCTTCTATCAGCACATCAGTTCAAAATACAGCGTAGAGCAGCAAGTGCAAAATGGCCACTACGTTACCTTTGCTGGCAACTTCTTTCCTAATGTACTGAGGAAGTGCAAGTTAAAGCCCCAATTAAAACTGATCTTTTCCAGCTCATATAGTATTGAAAATTTAAATTTAAATTTAAATTTAAATTTAAATATAAATATAAACTGGAAAAGATCAGTTTTAATTGGGGCTTTAACTTGCACTTCCTCAGTACATTAGGAAAGAAGTTGCCAGCAAAGGTAACGTAGTGGCCATTTTGCACTTGCTGCTCTACGCTGTATTTTGAACTGATGTGCTGATAGAAGCCCTGTCCATACCCAGTTAGGTTGGCAAGCTCAGAAAAGTACATTTTAATTGTAATATCCCCCAAATCAGGAGCACACTTGCTATCACTCCTCATTCAGAGCTTCCCTCTGCTGTTCTCCTCCCGGGGTCTTTTTTTAATGAGTAGGAAAGACACGCATTGGATTAAAGGAATATGCGTTGAATTCTAAGGCCATTTTTTCCTGTCTCGCAGCTGTCCTCTTTGTCCGTCTTCACAAAGAAAATAATTCAAATGACTTCTGGGAAGTCCAATGTTACAAATATATTGTTACGCAAAACACGAAAAATAGGTATTTGTGGGAAATAATACTTGGATCTCAGCAGTCAGGGATGATGGCACCGACACGACAGTGAATTGCACTCACCCGAGCCCCTCGCACACGCACCCTAACAATGAATGAGGGAGGGAATGAACGAATGAATGAATGAATAAATAAAAGTGAAAGTGCTGGGTTCACTGTAGTCGTGACTCAGCCGTGCTTAAGTAAGCAAGAAGATGAACTGTCAGGAGCTTCTCCTTGGTTTTGAGCTGATCAGCTGAGCTACTGAACTGTTTCTTCATGAATAGATCTGCAGCTGCATTAAATATGTGAAAAATACTTAAAAAAAGAATAATTTGGTGTATGATAACATGGTTAAAAGGCCTTGTGGCGTGCACTTAAGAGCGGCTGTATTTCCACGCAGCTGACTAGATTACATCTGAAATAATCCAGTCTCTGCCATACAAATACTGCATTACGGGTATGCCAAGGCTAAAATACTATAAAAGCAAAGCTGGAATTCTTCCTGCTCGAATCGTGCAAAAGCCATGTTTCAAGCCAAAGACCATCCAAATTATCAGCCATCACGCCCACCCATGCTGCAGGACTGAATATTAATTCTTCTGGCCCCCAAATGATCATGATGCAGGAATTCAGACTCCCCGTAGACAGAAAATGGGAAATCTGCTTTAAAGAAAGGCATTCAGTGATCTCAAGTTTCTGTTGTATTATAGAAGCCTCTCATCAGGATGGCTGTAGGCACAGTGCACATAAGAGGGCAAAGACATTTGCTCTCTGCTATTTATTGCACACAGTATTTGCATCATGGATGCCATCAGCTGGGGACATCACCAAATACTTTACGGAGTAGTAACCTTAAGTCATTAGGTCAATACTGAGTTTGTTAAATGTCTGTATATCACTATAGGTTGAATGTCCTGCAGCTACCCTACAGCAGTCGGCCAGAACAATCAGAAATTTTATTCAGATGGATTTAGTGCTAAGAGCATGAATAAACAAGAAAAAAAATTAAAGTATTTGGGGAAAGTATTGGGTACTTGGGAAACTTGGAAAATGTTCTTACATATTAGGCATATAATATGTTCCATGGGATCAATGACTATGTCTGCATATGGGATTTATTCTTTATTTTCTCCACTTAATGAAAATTGGATTTTTTTCCCTTCATATCCTGATTTCTTTCAGGACTAAAGTGTAGCCCAGGATTCCATTCTATAATCATGAATTTTTGAAGGAGCCTCTTTAAGGCTCCAGAGTAGTGATTTTCTGCGCCACTGAGCCTGCCTTTTTTTATTAACAGAGATTGATTTTCTCCATCTTGGCATGTGAAGTTCCAGGGTGTATCCTCTGGATCATCACCCTGTAATGTGCAGTGATATCAACAGCACAAGATGTGAATACTTCAACTTTAACGTTATCAGAAATAACAGCTTTTAGATCACCAGTGTGAGAAGACTCTGAAGAAAACGGTATTTCGTGAAGCCATCAAAATCTGTCTGCTATAGGAATGGTGACTTACAATTATCTTGAAGCAATTTCTTCTGGATCAGATATATTACAGTTCCCACAGATAGGTTCCAATCCCACAATATTGTCCACTTTGCTTAAATTTAGCTATTTTGAGGAATCCTAGCGATTTCAGCGGGAGCAACTCACAGGTCTTGTAGGACTGTAATTAGGAAGACTCTTTGACCATGTAATCATGACTGTACAACAGTTGCCAGTCACAGCAAAAGACCTGCTCATCAAAAAGCTGCGTGGGCTTTTGAAGACAGATGCTGCATT